TTTAAGTTTTACATGATATACTTTAAATTCTAATTTTAAAAGTTACTTTTTTACCTTATGTTTCTGGATCTAATATTGAAAATGGAGGAGGCCCACCAGGAAGGGGCACTAGAAGGTAGAAAACAATGAGATAAAAACAGCAGGAAGCAGCCTGAAAGACCTGTGATGGCAACTTCACGCGCAGGCAGCGTGTGCCACACGCATCACGGGCCGCTGCTGTGAGGTCCCGCTGTTGTGAAGGAAGAGCGTGACAGGCTTTAGAACCAACGCTGGGTCCAGTCTTCCCAGCCCGTCCTTTGGTCTCCTCCTTCCCCTCCGTCAGACCCCCGCTAGGCTCACGGGGTGGGCCTGCACAGGTGGTAAACTGGAAGGGGCTGGGGCACAGGCCGACCCTAGTCTCCTCCGGCATTTTTCATTTAGCAGGAAGGCCCTGGCCTGCTAGGTCCACGTCACCTCTCAGGCAAGTCCAAAGAGCAGAAAAGAGCATCAGAAAGCTGGAGGCCATGCTCTCTCTGGAGAAGTAAGCCACTCGTGTGTGCGTGCACGTATACACATACCCACTTATACACACCCATGCTTGATGTGTCCCCCGTGCCTTCTGATTGGATCTCATGAAAGGACAAATGCTGGAGAAGGATGACATGGGAACAGAGCCACCACTTGCAGGACAGGAGCCAAGTCCCCACGCTGAGTGGCTGGGTCAGCGAAAGAAGAGGACAGGTCAGAGCCCAGAAACACACTTACGTGGAAAGAGTGGCATTAGAGATTTTTAGGGAAAATGAACTAATCAAAAAATGGCACAGAATTAACAGATGCCAAATGGGGAAAACTTTAAAGATCTCTGCCTCTTTCCCACAAAGACCCAAATGCACTGTGAGAAATGCACTCACTGGTCCAAACTTAGTAAGTGGACACGGAGACAAAGAGAACAGCGGAGCGAGGCTCTACCGGCAGCCTTGCAAGGTGAGCTGCCTGGGAGCGGGCACCCTCGGGGCCACGTCAGCAGGTCACTCCTTGGCGCGGGAGCCCCTCCCCCGGCTCCTCACTGCCTGAGGGCTGCAGGGTTCACAGTCTAAGCAGGTTATATCCATATGCACCTTCACATTTCTCTTAAAGTTAGTGGCTGTTTTAAAACTTTCTGTGCATTTTTCTACGTGACACGCAGCTGCTCTTCCTCAGGCTCCCTCCCCTCCCAGCCACGGTGACCTTCCGGCACATGTTCTGGCACGTAAGCTTCTTGTCAGTACCCTTTAGTTTAAACGTTAATTCCTCTGGGAATAAATCACTTTTAGTTTCATGCATTACTAACAGCACTTAAACAAAAATCTTTAACTTTAGAAAATAGAGAAGACTCTTAATGACTCAGGGTGAAGAAGCATTTCAGAAACAAAATACAAAACACTAAACCTTTCAGGAAAAGATTGATAAATTTTTCTTCTAAATTTGAAACTTGTATATAACAAAAACACCTTAAACATTAAAAGACAAGCCACAGAACAAGAGAAGATGTTTGAAATACACATTAAGACCTTCATCTAATGAATAAGAAAACAGAAATAACCCAGTAGAAAAACAACCCAAAAACATGAAGACAATTCATGGAAGCCACAAAACCAATAAACATGGGAAATGCTCAACCTCATTGGGACTCATAGAAATGTAAATAAAACAAGAAGGTTGTACATTTCAACCCCATGCAGAAAAGGGTCGCAAGGCTGTAAACAGTAGCACGCCCCTGAGTGGGAGGGCAAGTGCAGGGACCGCCTTGCAGAGCAGCTTCTTGGCAGCCCATGCGACCACACTCGGCATCACCTTGGACCCGAGGCTTCACTGCTGATGGTGGACTTCAGGAAAACTGTGCAGAGAGAGACATGTTCAGGAATGTTTGTGGATATAGTATTTGTATTAGCCAACATTATATTAAAAACCTTAGTAGCCAGCAACGAGAAAAAATTCATGCTACATAGTCAAGTAAATCCTTTGGAGCAGTTGGAATCCGTGCAGGAGAACCTCACTCCTCAATATGGATGAACTTGAGAACGGTGTTGAGCAGCGAAAACAGGGCAAAGGCTGCCTGTAACATGCCAGCTTGTAGTAATGCTTGAAAACGAGCAGGTAATCCCTCAGCCACAGCTCTGCAACCCAAGAGAGCCCTGAAACCTACGATTATTCCTGGCAGCAGACGTGACCTGACCAGGCTCATTCAGCAGCAGCCAGGCCATGTCCACCCTGCTCTCCCACACCCCTCCCCACCTGCCCTGCTTCCTGGGAACAGTGACAGCCAGAGCTCCCGGGCAGGTGACTGCCCTGCCACAGCTCTACTGGCGGCACCAGGCCCTGGCTGCATCCCCAGCACTGTGGTTCCCTGGCCTTGCCCACCCCACTAGGGCGCTGGGAATGGTCTGGGGCCCAGGTTACTGCCAGGCCCCTCGTGGAGAAGACAGCCAAGGTCCTTGTTGATCCCACTTGGTACAAAGCAAAAATATTCCTGTGCCTGGAACTGTTTTTGAAATGCAAACCAAACTTGAACTGTAGCCAAGCAAAAGTTCTGTATTCTTTTACCAGGAAAAACAGTTATTTGGGAAAAAGAGAATTGCTGGTTAACTTTTCTAACCTCTTTGCTTTTCACCTTCCTTTTCTTCTTAAATTATGACACAAGGAAAACCATGGAAACCATGTTCATCTCTCTGCTTCCTCTATAAGCATGTCTGACTCTTAAACCCAGAGATAATCCAAACCTTTAGAGACTGGGGAGCCATGCCAGGTCCTGTTCTAGTCCTGAGTAGGTAGAATGAGTTTTGGGCTCAAGTCTGGCCCCTACGCCGTGCTTCAGCCTGTGTCCTCAGACAGGCCACCGAGAAGGACGCCCCCAGAACAGCCACATGCTGTTTGGTTACTGTCTCAAGGAATCAGGTCATTCTGACTCCTGGAAAATTGGCTGTCAGGTTAGCATACATTTGCTTAGATATGACTATGTGTCATTTATAGACCATCAATGCTAATGAGAACATGGCTTAGCCTAATACTGCACACTTAGTCAAGAGTGGCAGTTATCTAGGTAAATCATATTCAGTCCTCTGTGGGAAAATTATATTAGGAGAAGCTGTTATAGCAGCATAAACTTCCCTGCTTTCTATTTCAGTTAGCAAAGAAGCCACTTTTTAAAAGATTTACATTTGCAAAAAAAAAGAAAGAAAGAATAAGATGACAGGTTTGGGTTTCATTTTTAATAGTAGCAATCTGGTTTGAGATACAGAAAACACATTTTATATATGAAATCATAGCAAGAGCTGAAGGTTTTTTATATGACATTTAATCATTATGTTGCACTTCACATTCGCAAAGTATTGCAAATAATTTTATTACACATTTAAATGTTTTATTAGTGGTGGGTATCTGTACATAATAGATATAAAATAAGGAGTCTTTATTGTGTACTAAATATTTCTTACTTGTTTAAAAAATATAGAAATATCCATGACCAGACTTTCTCATTTATATATTTTTGCACCCATTCTGTCTGCCTTTGAGGTCTATCAAATAGATCATAGAGGGGCTCACTGGGGTTGGGACACTGTCAAGGGGTTCCTTATCTACTGTGGCTAAATCCCTTTGCTTTTATTACTTTTTCTTTTTTTCAGCAAAAACACCTCTTTCCTCATGCTTTAACCACCGTAGTTAGTAGTAACTTGTATGTTACTAGTAGTAACAAGTCCTATTTGGTAAAAATAATAATAATAATGTATTATTTAAACAAGCATTAATTTGTTTTCCTGCACATGTTCAGAGATGGGGTGTGGTGTCCCCTCTGGGGCCTCCCCTGTGTGGGACAGACGTGGGTGGCCACCCATTTCCACATGGCCAGGGTGGAAACGCCTAGTCTGCAGTTGTGCTCTCACACCAGGCATGCGGCCTTGACCACTAATCCTCATTTTACAAACAGCATGTTCTTATTTCAGAAAAATGGAAGAGAAATTGATATAGAATTACTGTCAGTTAACATTTAGTATTTACATATGTATGTAGTACATGTATGAATATGAACAGATCTGTGTTATTTATGTACACCACACAAAATTTCATATTACATGCCTAATTTTACATCTTTCTGTTACCTAATATCATGTCTTGGCATTTTCCAATATTAAAGCATCTTTGAAAACATAGTTTACCAGCTGCATAACCTGAAACAGTTGCAAATAACCTTTGGAGAACCACTTGTGTGGATGTGATGACTTCCTTAGGACAGACCCTGGGAGGAGAATTCCTAGGGCAGGGTGTGGACAGAGCAGACTGCACCAGAGCACCTTCACCAGAACCCGGGCACACACCCGCAAGATGGGCAGACGAGAAGGTTCTTCCCCAGGAGCCTGCCTTGCGGACCACATCGTGGGGAGCTCTTTCAGGGAGGCGCAGGCCAGAACTCTCTAGGAACCCCGCGGATCCCGTGCCTGCACCAGCCGCCTCCTGCTGCTTCCCGGCCGGCACTGCGCACAGCGCTCTCCTGCACACGTGCTCGTTTCATCCTCCCATCAGTTGGGTGGGTGGAGGCGTTTGACTTGCCCAGTTGAGCACCTCAGTGTTGGGTGGCATGCCAGCACCCTTGAGAAAGGCGAGGCACATGCCTCCTGACTGCAGACCAGCACCCCTCTGCCACAGCTGCTTCCCCAGAAATCAGGGCACCCCCAGCAGCCCGTGCCTCGAGGGGTCCCAAGTAAGTAAGGTCTGAAGAACTGCCTTGGCGACAAGTGGAGGGTCCATGCCCACTCGTGGGCTCCTCAGTAGCAGGGTCCGTGTCCCCTGAGTCCTCGCCACTCAGCATTCTGGCTGGCAGGTGTGAAGCCCTGGGGCTGGGGGCCAGCGGGTGGGCAGCCTGCTCTAGATGCGCTGGGTAGCAGGGTCACGACACTCCCTTGCCTGAAGCCCTTCCCTGGCCTCCTGTCTCCCCTAGAGTGAGTGTGGGTCTCTTGGGACCTGGGCCCTCCCAGCATTCACCTTCTCCCCTTCACACCTGCCCACTCACTTCCTGTTCTAGCCCCGCTGATTTTGTCCCTTACGTGGCCCCCCTGCTGGCGGTCCTGCTGCTTGTCCCAGATGCTGCCCCCCCAGGTCTCAGCTCCAGTGTCATTCTGACCCCTTCCATTCTGAGAGCCAGTCCAGGGCGTACACCCGTGACACCCTGTGCTTCCTGTTATGCTCTCAGTCGTTTAGTTAGTTCTTGGGGAAAGTAGTGTTTGCGGTAGGGCACAGACGAAGCCTGAAGCCCCGCTGAGGACTGTGTGCCAGTGTTGCTGGCGTCTCTAACTCAGGTCGTACTGGTAGGCTGGTCTTTGCTGTGTTAGCACGGTTCATTGATTTTTCTCATGTGGGTAAAATAGAATCATGTTCAGCTTATACAACCACTTTATCGTCACATGCAGATTTCACAGATAAAGGTATATCCACATAGCATACAGTTTAACTATCGATCTTAAATTGATAAAAATCACAACACAGGGTTACCGTGCTGAAAAAGGGAAGTGGTCTTACAGACTTGGGGGCAGGAGGGATTTCCCAACACGAGCTCTGCCCACTGTGTTCTGTCCATTGTGGAATTTGCTCACGTTGGTCTGGTCTCGTGCCCTGCCCCCTGCTCGCCTAACGACACGTGCATCCTTGGCGCGGCATCGCCCACATGCCCGCAGCCGCCTGGTCTTGTCCTTGCTGACGGACGGAGCCGAAGCCTGAGCTGCCCGCCTGTGCTGTGTCTTTCAGAGCTGCAAGAACTGGAGGGCGGCGGTGGACCTGTGCGGGCGCCTCCTCACGGCCCACGGCCAGGGCTACGGCAAGAGCGGGCTGCCGACCAGCCACACCGCGGACTCCCTGCAGGTACAGCCCTCCTGCCCAGCTGCTGTCCGCCAACCACAGTTAGGGGATATGGAAGGGACCGTGGCCTTCCATGCCAGTAAGAACAGTTAGGGAACAAAGCATGGGTTTTCTTAGCCTGAATTTAACAGCAGCAAGAGATTACTCTCCTCCCCCTCTCCTGCTGCTGTGAGCTGGATTCTCGCCCTGACTGGTGACCAGATACCTCTGCGTCCCAGAGGCTCGTCCCCAGAGCTCTCAGCACGGCTGGGGGGCTGCACCCCTTGGGACTGGGACGACGTGGGCTGTGACGGGGTCGGGAGCGCACCACGGATCTCCTCAGCAGGATGTCATCTCTTGTTCTTGAATTTAAAATAAGGGCTGCAGAAAACAGCTGTGAAGGATGGGAAGTTGGTGAGGGCCACCACAGCGCCCTGAGTTCTCACCTTTCCATGGGCACCCCCAACTGCTATTCCATGTTTTGTGGGACCTTCCCCCGCAGTCACTAGTCACCCGAGCCCCAAAACCAGGGGCTGGCATGAGGAAGGAGACTGGGGCCTGCCAGTGAGGCAGTCCAGGCACACCTCCCCCCTCCCCCCAGCACTGACCATGGGTGGGGATGGGAGGCCAGCTCTGGCTCCAGGCTGTGTCCTCACCAGTGCCAAGTGAGGGGCTGAGCCCCAGGCGGCATTGCCCCCAAACTGCAGGTCTGTCGCTGCCCACACGCTCACTGGACTGTGTCAAGCCTCCTACATGCCCTGGTGCCGTCTCTGTTCACTCTCCTCCGATACACAGCCTCCAGATATTCTTAAAACACAGTGTGGGTCATCTCTCTTCCTGCTAAAAATGAGGAGCAGCTCCCCGACCCCCCACCTCCCACCACCTCCTGCTTAGTAGCAGCTCCCCCAAGTGGCCGCAGGCATAAGGCATGGCGGGGCAGCGTCCACTCCCCTTGGCCCACTTTTGACACCTGTCACTTGCTGTGTGGTCCAGAGTGGTCACTTCTTTATGAACCTCACTCTGCCCGTGACTAAAGGAGACTGAGGTGGGCCATCTCTGTGGCACCATCCGTGCCCACACCTCTGACTCCAGGGCACTCTTGTTGACATTCCGTCATTTTCCTGAACTTGCTGTATGCTGGCCGTCAACCTGACAGCTCTCACAGGTGTGCTCTGTCCCCTGTACCTGCAGATGCCAGGACTTCAGTGCCCTCCACAGACCCAGCCCAGGCCACCTTCATCCTCCCGCTGTCCTCCCCGCCCACCTGTGTCCTCACCCCCACCGCTCGCCCCCTCCATGAGAACAAGACGATGTTCTCTTCCGGGGAGGGGCCTGGCTCCTTTTATCTTCTGTATACCTAAAATAGTGCTTTGCACACATAAGCTGCTTAGTATCATTGACTTAAGATGAATCAAATAAAATCATTATGTTGTTATTAAGCTAGAGTATTTATAAGCGTGTAATTATACAAATGTGCAGAAAAGAGAGGTTTAGCCTTGTTTTAACATACTAGAAATCCAGCCCTGATACAAAGTTAACTGGAAATAGGAATTGCTGAACTTTATATGCATAGGAAACCTGTTTCAATTCCATTCTGTGTTTCAGCTCTGGTTTGTGAGGCTGGCGCTGCTGGTGAAGCTAGGCCTTTTCCAGAATGCCGAGACGGAGTTTGAGCCCTTTGGGAACCTGGACCAGCCAGACCTGTATTACGAATACTACCCGCAGACATACCCTGGGCGTAGGGGTAAGGCGCTGGCGGTTAATGTCTGTGCCTTTGCTTGTATGTTGCTTCGCTTTGCACATAATCACGCATCCTCAGCTTCCCTTATTTATCCTGTCCTGGAAAATCAGAAAAGTAGCCTAGCAATGAGGCTGGGACCCTTGACTCCCAGAGTGACTGAACGCAGCTGTCTGAGTACATTCGTCCGGACGCATCCACCGTAAAACAGCAGTGAGGCTTGTTATAAGAACAGGGAGGCAGACATTTGTGCTTTCAGCTGTGCTCCAGAGTGAAACCGTTGTGCTGTGGCCTGGTGCCCGTGCACACAGAGGAACAAGGCAGACATGTTCTCTCTCCCAGGCTCTGTTCTGGTTTCGTTTGTTTAAACATCTGGTTGCAGCCCATCGCTTGGAAACCTGGGCAGCAGCCTCGCATCCTTGTCTGAGGGTTGGGAGGGAGAGCACCCCGCAGAGCCTCCTGGGCACCAGCACCCTGAGGTGGAGTGAACATCTCTTGGTGGAGACCCTTATGAACGTGCTTGGAACCCACCAAATGTTCACAGCAAATGTGAGACGGTTCCGGAAGGACTCCTACTGAGAGCAGCCTGAGCACAGGTACTGGAAGCCTCCACTCACCGGCAGACCCTGGCTCCTGGCTGCTCCACTAGCTCGGGCGAGGCCGGCACCCGTGACTCTGTCCCTGTGCAGCAGGGGGACAGCCGTGCCTCCCCCAGGGGCCGTGGAGACGGAGGCATGTGCTGGCTCATAGTGGCTGCTGCACTGCCCCTGTCTCATTCTGTCTTAACTCAGCATCCCTCTCGATTCCTGCCGTCTCTGGTAAGATCAGTGGTCAGCACTATTGGATGTGACCTGGAAACGATGGGGGGTTTGGGGGGTTCCTGGTTGTCAGGAAACGCGGAGCCTAATTGGAGGTAGAAAATAAAAAATAGTAGCAGTATCGGGGATAAAAAGGCCTGGTTCATAATAAAGATAATCGCTCTAGGAATTTTAAAAATTGAGTCAACATTTTACTTAACTTGGTTGATATTAGTAGGTAAATAGATAAAGTGAGGAGACCAGAAGGAAAAGCATTTCTTGACCTTCTGTGCTGTTTTTCCTTAGAACCCAGATCCTGCTTCTGGGGGGATGAAGGGCGGAGTACGCGCGCTCCTCTCCCGGGACCTCGGCCCTCGGGGCCCTGCCCTCCCCTGCCCATAGCATCCCCAGACTGGAGGGTGGGTTTCGCCTGGGCTACTTTCAGACCTTCCACCCTCACTGGGGTTCAACTCCTTTTTCTTCCTTCCGACCAAGGGAATTTATTACCCCTTGTGGAAAACGTAGATTTTAATACCTTGCTTAGGTGAAAATCAGGGGAGACATCAGACCGGTCGTCCTGACTGGTTGTCTCAGCCGAGAGGAGGTGAGCCAGCCAGGCCGGGCAGACAGGGTCAGGAAGGGACTGCCACCCGCGCTTCCCGGTTTGTGGAACTTCTTCCCCCAGTGGCCTCTCGGGTCCAGTCAGTCTGCACAGGACAGGGGAGAGTAGCCCAAAGCCGGAGCCCTCAGAGCAGGGCCACGGGAGACGACCTCAATGGCCTCGGCCGTGCCCGCAGGCCGGGGAGGTGGCGTGGGGCTCCCTGGGCCTACTGGCCCGTCCTCGCCGCCCTGGCTCCAGGAGGCTGGCCTGGGTCTGCCATGGCTCAGGTAGATGCACCCTCACCTGCGCTCTCTGGACCTTTCTCCTCCGGTGCCCCAGCTCCAGGAAGCCCCCAGCCGGCCCAGAGCTGTGGGTGGGGAGCACGGCTTCCCATCCCTCTCGAGGGTCGGTCTCATCTGTCCTCACGGCTATGGTGAGCCCCACAGCCCCGGGTGCCTGGAGGCACACGTCCGTCTCCGGGTTGTTCCGGGGGTGCTTCTCTAGCTTGTGAGCTAATGGTGTTCCTTTCCTGTCTGTCCTTTGTAACCACCTGAGGTCCATCCTGCCATAGAAGCGATGAGCAGACTTCCAGCCCGGAAGCAGGAGTGTGTCTCTGTGTCCACTCCCCAGCAGTTTGGGCAGAGGGTGCTCGGTGGGAAGGCTGAAGGCCGTGCTCTGTGGGACGTTCGGGGTCCCTTCTGTTTAATGTATTATCTGGTAGCTTTGATGTTTTCGTACTTCTTACAAGGAAGGAAGCCTACATCTCCCTCGGGCATAAATAAAAGCAGGCTGCTTCCCCCTCTGCAGACTGCTGCCTGAGCACCGCCTCCCCCAGCACGGCCCCTCTTGCAGCCAGAAGGCTGGACCCTCTGCCCGGTCTGGGCCTGGGCAGCTGGTGTTTACTGGCGTCTCGCCTGCTGCTCACAGAACTCAGAACTCTGAGAACATGGGCCCATCTCCCCATGGCTGCAAACCAGCGAATAGACTGAAGCCCCCCACCACATGGCTGTCCTGTGGGGGCCACATGCACTGTAGACTCAGAACGACTGTTCACGCCCCAGTGGCTGCTGGGTGCCCACAGGTGTTGAGGAGTAAGACACCAAAAAGCAGGTATTTCCTGTGGTGGTGGATGAAAACCTCTGCTCATCTTTGGCTCCCAGCCCTCGGCCCTCTGGACGTTCAGCGTCACGGTGCACCTGTCTCAGTCACATCCTATGGAGTCAAGTCCTGCAGGCACTGCCCGCTGCACTGTCTGTGAGGAGACGGGTGAGGGACCTGGTGCCCAGCTTCCTGTAGGACGAGGGGTAAGGCTCCTGGGGTCAAGCGTAGAATCCCCGTCATCCTCACCGTTGGTGGTGAGGACACTGCACATCAGGGTGTGCAGCCTGGAAAGCACACTTCTGATCCTTTGTGAAATGAAATTGGCTGGGATAAGGATGGAGAGAAGAGAGTAGCCACACATCGTTAAGCAGCTCATTTAAATTAGGAAACAGACATAAATCATCCATGTGTTTCAGCTAAAGTGTGTTAACATTCATCCACAATAATCCAGTGAATGTTTACTGATTTTTCTTCTGATTTTGTGGTATAACAAGCATAAATGTATGGTTTTGATTCATTCATTTCATTATAGCTTGCAATATATAAGCAGAGCAAGTCATTAAAATGTGCTTTAAAAATGGGGCTATAACAATACAAATAAATAGTTTTTATGAATGAGCTTTAATATATTTTATTTAAATATTGGGCATAATTTTTACCCATTCAGAATATTCGTAACAGATTTAATGAATGAATCATGAGTAAAAATCATAAAGTGTTTTTGTTTTCTTTCCATCCAAGAAAGGAACAGTATTGTGGTCACATTCCTCTGACCTTTCTAGCAATTTGGTAGTTTCAGCCTCTCTCAGGATGGCCTGTGTGTGTTTCTGCACACTCAGCATGTCTCAGGTTGACAGGTGAGGTGGACAGGGTGGCACTGAGCCGTCCTGAGTTCTCGGCAACTGGCAGGCCCCAAGAGGCCCCTGTGCCCTCTCCTCCACTCGGTGCTGCTTCCCTTACACTGCATGTCTGTCCCTACAGCACCACCCCAGCTCTGTGAGGGGCTGCTTGCGTCAGACTTGAGCTGGGACTTCAGCGGGCAAGTGGAGGGCACTCAAAGCTCAGGTCTGTGTTAGAGCCAGTGGGGCAGACCACCCACATCTCCTCGTGAGCCCAAGGTCACCCACACCCTGCAGCTTGGACACAGGGTCACACTTGGCTGCCGAGCTCTCCACCTACCCCTGTCCTACCGCTCAGGAGAACCAGGTGGAAGCCGTTCAGGCAGGAATGACAGATGGCCTCAGCCTCACAGTGATGCCATAAGACAAGGAGTGCATCTGGCCGCCTTTCCTACTTACAGTGCAGGTACTGGGTTCCTGCCTGTACTTCCCGTTACAGTTCAGTAGGGTCTTTAAAGTACACGGGAGGTCACCACCGTTGCTTCACAGGAACCAAATGCCACTGGGTGGGTGGAATGATGTGTGTGTGTGGAGACACTTGATTTTCCTGGGGCACTTACATCTGATTTATGCAAATCCACTTCTGTCCCTTCTGAGAAATCCCATTTTGGGATGCTTGCTGATTGAATCCACTCTTCACTTAACAAAAATTGAAACCTTTTTAATAGAAAAATTTTTAGTAAACACTCAGATAGTTAACAACTGTTAACATTTTTTCATATTTACCGCAGCCATTTTTACAGTGAACTTATGTGTACATTACTGGTACAGCCTTAAAGGCGCCCCACCCCAGTTCCATCCCCTCCCTAAGAGGTCACTATTGTGCGATTGTCATGGACCTGTCCAGATCATGTTTTTACATTTCCCCAATGCTCATGTGCACATACACACACACACACACACACACACGGAATAGGTTGTCCTGTGGACTTTTTATTTTATTTTTATTTTTTTATTAAGGTATTATTGATAAACACTCTTATGAAGGTTTCACATGAAAAAACAATGTGGTTACTACGTTTACCCATATTATCAAGTCCCCCCCATACCCTAATGCAGTCACTGTCCATCTGTCTTGTGGACTTTTTGATGTACGTCATGAGCATCTTCCTTCATTTGGCTGCTTTTTCTACTTAACATTGTTGGCATGCAGACTTACATGAGCAAGAGGGACCTTCCCAGTTTCGGTCAGCTCTAAACGTCTTTGTGGGTTTCTCTTTGCACATGTGTTCCTGCATTTCTCTAAGGTGTAAATCAAAAGTGGCACTGCCAGGTTGCATGGGTTTGTATTTTCAATTCTGTAAGAAACAGTCAAATTGCTTCTCAGAGTAGCTGTACTGATTGACACTGCCAACGCCAGTGTATTACAGTGTTTGCTTCCCCACTTGTGAATCGATGTTGTCAGACTTCATCTGGTGGGTCTGAAACTCTACCCCTTGTTTTAACTCGCGTCCTTCGGAGTTAAACGCCTTTTGTGTATCCCCTGCTGCTGGAGTTTCCTCTTCGGGGACTCTTTCATAATCTTCATCCACGTTTCCACTGGGTTATCTTTCTGCTATTGACTTTTTGCTGTTCTTTACATATTACAGGTATGTAATCTTTCGTTAT